GGGGGAGAAAGTGGCTTCCTTCCAAGGCCACCCAAGCTGGAGCTTGTGCTCAGAGATGACAGCAGTCGGAAAGCAAATGCACAGCTCCTGGGAAGGGAATTCAAAAGCCTGTCCCTGGGGCCGGCCAGGTGGCGCAGCAGTTAAGTGTGCACTTTCTGCTTCGGCGGGCGGGCTTCGCCAGTTTGGATTCCCGGGTGTGGACATGGCACCGCTTGGCAAGCCATGCTGTGGGAGGCATCCCACATATAAAAGTAGAGGAAGATGGGCACGGATGTTAGCTCAGGGCCAGCCTTCCTCAGCAAAAAGAGGAGGATTGGCAGCAGATGTTAGCTCAGGGGTAATCTTCCTCAAAAAAAAAAAGCTTGCCCCTGCTTACACTGGCCACCCACTGGGAGACAGTGACCCCACAAAAAGTGCCCCCTGAGCAGAGAAGACCGATGGCAATCAGGATGGGCCCCTCCTGGGCAGTGTCTTCTGCACTGATGCTATCCATCTGCCTCTTCTTTGCCAAACGCTCCTGGCTGAGTCACCTCTATGTGTCTTCCTTTTTTTTCACTCTTTGACAGCTTCGGGGAAGATGGCTTATTCCCTTTTCCCTTCCAGGTAATAGACGTATTACTTTAATTGGAGGCTTACTCTATGGAAGGTATAGTGCTAAGGGCTGTACACACATTAATATTTAATCCTCATAACAACTCTATAAGGTGGGTACTACCATTATCCCCATTTTACAGAAGAGCAAACTGAGACACAGAAAGCTAATGGATATATATATATATACGGCCAGCCCTAGTGGTGTAGTAGTTAAGATTCAGCACTTTCATTGCTGTGTCCTGGTCAGAGAACCACACCATCCGTCTGTCGGTTGTCATACTGTGGCGGCCGCGTGTCACTGTGATGCTGAAAGCTCTGCCACTGGCATTTCAAATACCAGCAGGGTCACCCAGGGTGGGCAGGTTTCATCCGAGCTTCCAAGCTAAGAAAGACCATCCACTTTCTAGAAAATTGACCATGGAAACCCTACGAATAACAGCAGGGCATTATCTGACACAGCACCAAAGGTAAGAGGATGGCGCAAAAGACCTGGCAGGGTTCCACTCTGCTGTCCACAGGGGTGGGAGTTGGAATTGACTAGATGGCACTAACAACAAATTTAGTAGTAAGTACAGGTGGTCCAGGGGATAATTCACCTGTTTGGTGTGTAACCCAAAGCAATGTTCTAATATTTGTGATTTCTTTCAAGCGACTTAGAAAGATATGTATATATATATATATGTATATATGTTAGAAGCTGCTGATGGTTCCCTAGTCTTGTGGGGTAGCTGTTCAATTTCACCTACACACAGGCTGACTTTTGGGGGAGTCTGAGAGTGTGTCTACTCTTAAGTCCTCATATTACTGAAGAACCAGAAGAACACGACTTCACAGCCTTCTTACTTACCCTCAGGGAGAATGCCTAGCAGTTTTGAAAACTTAGCTAGAATATGCTTCAGACAAAGAAAAACCCATAAATCATTTCCAAAACGTAGTTCAGTTCAAAGAAATCATATGATGTCAGCAATATCATTTTCTTTTAGATACTAATTACAGTCTTGGTAATGCATTGGTTATTTTGTATTCTACCTGGTTCTAAAAAGAAATTGAGCCACACCGGCTTCTTGTTTAGTATGCTGTTCATTGTCTTGGCTCTACCTGTTAAATATTTGGGCGTTTGGTAATAAATCAGCTAAGAATCACTTTAGCCACGCCACAAAAAAAAATCTATAGTCATTTGTGAGTTATCTCCATTGTAACCTCAAAAGATTTTACACTATCTTTTATATGAATGGACTAATCTATATGAATCAATAATTGGATATTTCATTTATTTTGGACAGCTCTCTAAATACTTCAAAGACTTACATATGATAGAGTTGATTTCCTTAGTGTTAAGAACTTTAGCTCATCAGCTTTAAAGCTCAAACTAAAACTGAAAGCCAGTCAAGGAATGCCTTTAACACCACCTTCACCACCCCACGTATCACATGCACACAAGCAAGAAAGCAGCCCAGTCCAGCTTGATGAACGACAGAAAAACCAGTTCTTATGTAAGAGGCAATGCACGCCTCACCCAGTTACACAATTAAGCATATTTGGCAGGAGAACCCTGACAAGACTGGAATACCCTGCTTGTTTGTAAGGGTTCCTGTAGAAGTAGGGATGGGAAAAAACATCAAGGGATTCCAGTTGGATGCATTCGAAAACCTCAGAGCAATCTTGCAATGGACCACGTCTGAATAAGCAACCCACCAATTTGCGTCAGTGCTGCCTTAGCTCAGGCTGCTATGACAAAATACTATGTAGTGGGTGGCTAAAACAAAGCCATTTATTTCCTCACACTACTGGAGGCTGGAAGTCTGAGATGAGGGTGCCGGCCTGGTCTAGTTCTAGTGAGGGTCTTCCTGCTGGCTTGCAGATGGCCACCTTCTTATTGTGTGTTCACTTGACCTTTTCTGGGTGCATGCACATGGAGAAAGAGAGATCTCTCTCTTCCTCTTCTTATAAGGGCACTAATCCCATCATGAGGGTCCTACCTTTTAACCTAATCAAAACTGAATTACCTCCTAAAGGCTTCATCTCCAAACACCATCGCAATGGGGGTTAGGGTTTCAGTATATGAATTTGGGTGGGACACAAAAATTCAGTCCGTAATAGGTACGTATATTAGGGAAGACCTTAATCCTCAAGATATCATTCTCTTGTCTTTTTCCTTTTAAAACTTATCTTTTCAAAACTGAATCTTCACTTATTGCCTCTCCTCCCTTGCTCCCTGCAGTTGGGGGACTTACACCCCCAATCAAAATACTAAAGTTTTTCTTTGAAACAGCAACCCTAATTGCCTTTTCTCAGCCTTCATCCTACCCGATCTTTTTGCAGTATTTGACACTATTCCTACCTTCCCTTCTCAAACTCTTTCATCTACAGATATAATAAAGAGTTTAGAAACAGACTAACTTGGGTTCGAATTTAAGGTCGAGACAACTACAAGTTACCTAGCCTTTCTGAATCTCAGTTTCCTTCCCCATCTATAAAAATAAGAATATTATTGGGGCCAGCCTGGTGCTGCAGCAGTTAAGTGCGCACGTTCTGCTTCGGTGGCCCAGGGTTCACCAGTTTGGATCCTGGGTGAGGACATGGTACCGCTTGGCACGCCATGCTGTGGCAGGCATCCCACATACAAAGTAGAGGAAGATGGGCATGGATGTTAGCTCAGGGCCAGCCTTCCTCAGCAAAAAGCGGAGGATTGGCAGCAGTTAGTCCTGGGCTAATCTTCCTCAAAAAAACAAACAAACAAACAAAGAATATTATTGCCTACCCCCAGGAGACTTGTGGGATTAAATGAAATGAAGGCATCTATCACTGGATCATCAATAAGTTCTTAGTTTTCCTTCTGCCTGCAGCCCTGTTCTTGCTCCTGAGCGCTGGTCCATAGTTTCTATTTGCCTTTAGCCCACCTCCACCTGGACTTCCAACTCAACTGTGCAAACCTAAACTAGCAAACTCTTCTACTCCTGCCTGCTCTCCAAGAGCTGACTGGGGACCAAAGCCATCAGCCCTCTCTCCATCACCTGGGTCAGAATTCCAAAGGTCATGAAATTAAACGGAGATATAAGACCAAAGGACTTAGAACTGGAACATCCTTGAGGGGCCCCTGTCTGTTCCTATTAGCCAAGGAAACATTCCGGTATCCCGGCAAGCCCTACGAAGAGCATCTCTCTGAATGTTCAAACGGGTGGCTCTCCAAGTGGAGTCCCCAGGCCAGAAGAATCAGCGTCACCTAAAAACTTAGAAAGGTGAATTCTCGGCCCCTTGCCAGATCTACCAAATCAGAAACTCAGGGTGGGATCCAGTATTCTCTAGGCAATTAAGATACAAGCTAAAGCTGGAGATCCAGCAGTATAAATAACCTCCATCTTGGCCTTAAGAGAAGACAAATATTTAAATATTAGAGTACATGAATATTTAAACACTAGTGTACATCTAATTCAATCGGCATAAAACAATTTATAAAACACAAATCATCTTGGTGTATTTTATTCTTCTATGAAAAGTCCAGTCATAATCTTGGTGCTTTAAAAACTAAAAGTATTCCCATTGCATATCCATGAATGCAAAATATTTAGAGGAAGACTGAAAAGGTACTTCACTTAACTCTGTGAGAAGAGTATTCTTAAGAAACAAAAGGTAAGTTACAGAACAGATTCCCACTGGAATCTGTAATACAACAGTAAAATAAAATTAGCTTTAGGAATGGAAAGGAGAATTTGTTCTTACGTTAATTTGGAGCACCTCTTCCCCATGATCTGTAGCATGCAATGCACATGATCAGTGACATTTGAGAGGCCAGAAGATCCAGAGGGAAAACTTAGCTATTTAAGTACTCTATTATGTATACTATACTATAATTGCTGTCTTCAACGATATTAGGTTAAAATAATTGGTACCTAAAAATGCATTTTGAGACTCAGGAAATCTCAGCTCTACTTTCCACTAGTAGAACAAGGAAGCGTTAACAAGATAGATTTCAACTGAAGAGCTGCAATTTCCTTCATAAGATAATAGATCATACAACAAGCGCCCAGGAAACATGGTCACTGAAGGCGACATGGAAATATCATGTGGGGGCCACTAACCACAGAAACTTCCTCCATTTCACAAACCTATGAATGACAGGCAACAATGAAGAGCTTCGGAACAATGAATGAACCAGATAAACATGGCCACCTATTGTTTATGAAGGCTTGTTTTCTCAAAGGATTGTTGCCTAGCTAAAAATCAAACACCTAGAGAAGATTTTGCCTTTTAAAGGTCACTCAGTGAAGTTATTGCCACACACATAAAACATGCAGCGAAAGTAAATTAAGTCCCATCAGTGCTGAAAAGATGCCAACTGTCTGCTACATTTACTCACTTTCTGTTACCGACCAGGTGCTGAATATATTTCGACTACGTTTACTTACTGGCTGTCTTGGCTCTGTCCAGCCTTTCTAGTCGCATTTTCTCGTCATTTAATCTTGTCTCAAGCATCAAATGGAACCTTTCTCTTATTTCCCCACAGTTCAGCAGGAAGCAGGCTGTAACTTCCATCCAGTCTCACTGTAGTTTTGGGAATACTGGGAAGGATGAAGCACACGCAGAATAACTCAGAATTTCTACTGCTCATTCCCAGGGCTTACCCTTGATCCCTAATAAGGCTGGTTTGCTCCCAGGTTCCTCCATGTAGCCATAGCTGTTCCTTCAGTGGAAATGCCCTGGAATCCTGTTCCTCAGGGTTTAGACTAAAGGACCTTCTGGAGTCAAAGAGAAAAGCCTTTTACCTCACCTCAGCTTGCCTTGTCTCATGCTCCAGGATTGACCGCTGCTAGGATGACTGACATCAACGACATATTTTTTTTTTGAGGAGAAACCACAGCCTCAAGAAAGGTATGTGATTCGACCATATGGGCCTTTAAAATAAAATCAGCCAATAGTCAATCACCAAGCAATGGTCTGACTTTAATTTAGTGGCACAGTGTGTTTACCATCAATTGCCCAGTGCAGGTCAGACTGCAAATTTAAGTTCAGTTTCTTTTCAATCTTATCTCATCAAGGATTCAACCTTACATAGTGTTTTATTATTTGTATGTTTAAAATAGTTTGAAAGAATATATACCAAATTTTTAGCAAGTTGTTTCATCTAGCTGGTAGATTACAGATATTTTTTATTTCTTATTTTTATTTATTTGTATTTTCTACTCTTTTTACAGTAAATAGTCATTTAGGGCATAATAAACTTTTTAAAAGAAAGTAATAGCAACATGAAAAAAATTATTCTCTTGGCCTTGCTATAGGCTGGAGAGGGTTGATGTTGGAAACTGGGAAATCTACCTTACAGCAGAGAAAGAAGGGGGGCCTAAACTAAGACAGTGGGGATGAAAAGATATTTTAGAGGCAAATTGACAGGAATGGATGACATATTTGGGTATAAAAATGGTAGTGAATCTTCAAAGATGACCCTCAGGTTTTTGGCTTAAGAGAGTAATTGAATAGTGCTACTTTAACCAAGTTAGGAGACGTAAGGAAACAGTCTGAGATGAGTTCAATAGGGACATGAGGAGTCTGAGATCCCTGTAGGATATTCAACCAGAGATTAGTAGTAAGAAGCTGGATTTGGAGGCCAGGAGAAATGTTGAACCGTGATTCAGATTAGGAAGTCATTGCTGAGGTTATGGCAGAAGTCAAGGTGGTGAATGAGATTGCGGAGAGAATGTGCAGAAAGAGAACAAAAGACAGATGTGGGAAGGAATCCCAGGGAACAGCCATGTTTAAGGCAGGGGCAGAAGACGAAGAGCCCAGGAAAAGGTTTTCCAAGGAGGAAAGAGCAGCCCGAGAGAATGGGATCACAGACATGGAGGGAATGATGGCAACCACTCTCAGCGACTTCACACTTGCTGTAGGCCAGGTGCTGTGTTTCACCCATGCTACCCCTATCCTTCTGGCAACCCCACGTGGAGGACATTGCTGTGTTCCTTTACAGAGAAGGAAATTGATATCCACAGGGTAAGAAATTTGCCCAGGGTCACACAACTATCAACTGTAAAGGCAGAATCCAGCCTTGGCCTTTCTGACTCTGTAGTCCATGCTCTTTCTTCAGTGTCATGCTGCTTCATTAGAATGTATTGTAAGTTGCTGTATCTGTCAACTGGCCTACATCAAGATAGAATCTAGAATCTTGACACAGTTCTTCAAACAATAGAATGGATGGCCAGCTGAGTCTTTTTGACACCGCTACTTCAGCTAGCCAGTCGCTCTCCCGGGAGCCCCTCTTCATGATCCAGCAATTTTCTCTAGCTTTAAGACCCACGCCCTGTTCTTGGTTGGTACTTATACGATATAGACTGTTATGTACATTGTATGTTACCCTTGCAAGTAACTCAGTGAGCCAGTTTTATATATATATAAAACACTCATTGGAAACATCTCTGCTTCCCTTAAAAATTTGGTCAAATATTATCTTTTGAAGAAAGTAACTTTACTTTCTTACTTAAAAAGTAAGACTAATGAAAAATTAAATTATAAGCAATCGTTTTTGAGATCAATAATAACCATTTAAACAGCCAAAGAGAAATGTAGGATTTTGACATGTCAAGTAATTCCAGAATGTTCAATCTGAACAGAACAGAGGTAAATATTTGCAAATGGATTAACAAGAGAGCAGCAATTAGAAATCAGACAATTACACAACATAAAAAAGCCAAGATCTTTAGATAGAGACATCATAGACATTTTATAGAGCATGGGAAAAAAATTAATAAAATATTATGCTAGAAGTAAAAAGAATTCAAGGACATCAAAGACATAGGTGATTATTCTAGTTTCATAAGCATTCACTGAATTTCTCTGTGATTGGCAGATGGTGATGCAAGAGAAAATTCTGAAGCTATATTTCTCGTAAGAGATAGTAAATTTCAACATAAAGAGATTGTGTAGAAAAATTTCAGATTGCTTTTAGACAATAAAATATTTTAAAATTAAATATTATTATTTTCGCTAAAAGTATAGTAGCTGAACCCAAGATATTTAGTTATTTTGTGCCCCTTCAACAGATCCATATGAATTTTCTTTCCTAGTCTTTAATAAGATTGACATGGATGACTCCAGGTTTATGGTAAGAATTATGCCAAGAGGACTTAATTGATTTCACTAACACTCTAGGAAAGTGACTGAAGGATCGATCGGGAATCCTCATTTCCTGGCTTATTTAGTCCCTTCCTGTAATTACAAGTCATATAGTTCTTTAAAGAAATGAAATTATTGGCCAAGCAACCAGGCCCCTAAATGAATGTAAATGTGTCTGTGGCTAATGAAGATGTACAAGATGGGGACAGTGAGGCCTTCAGAAACCAGCGATATAGAAATAAGAAAGAAACCTGGTTCCAAGTCTCAATACAGTGCTCTTGCTTTTTTTTCCAGATTTTTGTCATGTTGTAGTTTTTAATACTAAGACTCAAAAGAAAATATTCAGTGAAAATAAAAAAGCAACCTCAAAATAAACGAGTTGAGATGGAAGAGTAAGTGATGGTGAAAAGTACTTAGGTCAAACAGGCGTGTGAGAACAAAGGGCATGTATATGCCAGGGATACACATATATTTCACTGTCACAATTTTCTAACAAAATATTGAGAGAGAGAGATTTGGCAGAATTGGACAGATTAGATTAGACATGCACGTTTTTCTTTGTGTTTGAAACTTTAAAGTAAAAATAAAAAACAACCTAGTAGCCAACTTCCATTACAAAATCAAGATGCATTCCTAAGGGAAGACATCACTAAAAGTCTTTTTTGGAAAGCAAGGGATAGACGAAGGGTTCAGTGCGCATCAGTTCTGGATGGTACAGGACAATGAATGCTGCGCTTCTAGAATTCTTTAATATTTGCTCTGACTCCAAGATCTCTCCTCTCTCGTGTTCTCATTAGCTGTCTCTTCTCACACCACAGGAAAATTTATTCTTTCTAAGGAACCTCCTGCCACCCCCGGTGCAGCTGAAAGAACCTAGGCTCCCACCTGCTCCCAGTTGCACTATGACTGTTACCCCTGCCTTTACCACCAACTTCTGAACTCCCACGTGAAATTGCCTAGATAGACGGCTTCAGGCTTTTGTCAGTTTTCTACTTCTATTAACTTCTTTAATAAACTTCATTTTTTTAGAGCAGTTTTAGTTTCGCAGGAAAACTGAGCAGAGAGGACAGAGATTTTCCATGTGTCTCCTGCCCCCACACGTGCATGCCCTCTCTGACTAGCAACATGCCCCACCAGAATGGTGTCTTTGCTACAACTGATGAACCTACAAGGACACGTCATTATCACTCAAAGTCCATAGTTTACATTAGGGTTCATTCTTGAGATTGTACATTCTATGGATTTTGACAAATGAATAATAACATGTATCCACCATTATAGTATCATACAGAATAGTTTCACTGCCATAACTTCTATTAATTCTTACATTAGAAAATAAAATTTAGTTAATAGAGGGGACACCTGGATAATAATAAAAACAAATTGCTTAGGCTACTCTAAACGGAACAAAGATGGTTAAACAATATAAAATAATAATGTCTTCATTAGCCTAACTCACTGCTGAATTATTCTTTGTTAGTAATATAATTATATAGGTGATTTACAAGGCTTTAACTAAAGCTCAGCTGCTAGCAAATTGCTTATAGCAGAGAGCTGACCGCAGACGGTCTAGAATGAAAAAAGAGAAAGAACCACAGGTGAAAATAAAAGGCACAAATCAGAGAGTTTCGTACATTCTAAGGTCACGGCCTCCCCAAAAACTCACATCACTCAGAGGGTCCAGGGGAATTCCACTGATCAGCAGACACTTCACTGAAACCACACTGTCCTTGTTCAGCCTACACTTGACAATATACATTCAGTCAGTGTCTTTCCTCATCATTACAAATTAGAGGCCTTGAATATGCTTTTGATCTTTCCATTTGCTTTTCCCTGATCCCTGATCCTGGGATGTTTCTCTGCTTCCCAGATCCCTGGCTGTTTCAGTGCTTCTCTGTGGCATTTTCCTTCACCTCGGATGTCTGTAGGGGAGAAAAAAATATTCCTTTACCCTTTTAGGTTCTTCTGCCTGGTTTAAGAATTAAATCAACATGAGACAGAATAATAGGAGAAAATCAAGCAAATTTAATAACACATATATATGGGAGAAATCCAGGAAAGCTGAGTAACTCACCAAAATCCTTGAAGCCACCACCTTAAATACCGTCTTCAGCTAAAGACAAAGGAGGATGTTGGGGGTAGTGGTTTGGGACTTCAAAGGGGAGGAAGGCAATTCATATGGAGATGGAAAAGCCAATGTTTGGTAAACAAATGTTTGCCATGCCTTGCAAGACAATGAGACATGGAGAAGACTTTGATCAAAAAGGCCTTGCTAGGTTCCTCCTTGTCTACCACACTTAGATCATAATATACTGTAGTTTTCTATGATATTAGCTCCTTCCTCAAACAGGCCTTCTATCTTAAATGCTTTTAGGCAATTAAGGGAAAGTCAAAGTTTCTTCCTGAGTCTTTTGTTCCTAAAAATAATTAAGCCAAAGAGACACATTTTGGAGTAGCAAATTCTGTTCCCTGACATGCCCAACTCACCAGATATGCAAAGCCTGCTCATCCCTTAAGGCCAATTCAGTTGTCACCTTCCACCTGAACCTCAACTTTGTCATCTATATTTGGGGTTAATAATATTTGCCTTTTAAGTTGTGTGTTGAAACACTAAAATAAATTACACACATTCCTGTTGCTTAAACAGGGAAGTTATTCATAAACAATGGTTATTTTTATTATCTTCTGAACTTCTAAACTTATCTATATATGACCTTGACGTGTAGCATTTTATTTGTATTATGGACACTTATGTATATATTTTCCCTACCACTAGATTGTAAGTTTCTTGAGGCCAGAGTCTGCTTTATTCATCTTGGTATCCCCTAAGGCATGGCCAGTTTAAGCATAAAAGTAAATGCATAAACACGGCATTCAGGTACTGAGTTAGCGTATCAATTCTATCTGTAGCACAGAGAAGTGAATCAACTTAACCAGGAGAAAGAATGCGCTAATTACATCTCAACCTAATCCAAACCCAGTGTCTCATTCATACTAAGAATAATTCCTACAAGGTTCTGATAGTCCAATTTCACAACACAGGACAAAACACAATTATTGATATAAGGATGATGAAATCCAGAAATCCTCAGGAGAATGGAAGATTAGGTTGTAAAATGCATGAACCATTTTAAATTCCCTCTCTCTCGCTCCCATGGTGACGTGGCTGAAGTTCATTCACAACTATCAGTCTGTAAAGTGACAGTGGTGTGAGAGAACGAGGCTAAGATTTGGAATCTGATGGCTTAAATTTCAGTCCCAACTCTGTCACTATTTGTTTTATAACTTAGAAATGACAATCTCTCTCAAAGTCGTGGTTTTCTCATTTCTAACATGGGAATAAAGATTAGTAATTCAGAGATTATGAGAATTAAATGAGATGATGCACCTAAATGTGCTTTAAAAATTCTAAGATATCATTAATATTTATGTAACACGGGATCATAATACTCATCCTGATAAGTGTATTTGTTTTAATTTAAAAATTCCTTTGAATGAAATAATGTGATGTCCGGGACTTGCTTTGTAGTAGAGATGGCAGAAGATAGAGGACACAGAGAAAGCCACACTGGCCATGTGCTAATGATCATTGAAGCTGGGTGATGGATACCTGAGGGTTCACTATGCAATCTTGAAGTTTTCCAGAATAAAAAATGCAATTTCCTATTTTACTTACTTTTTAATTCAACTTAAAATAAGTTTTGTGTAGTGAAGAGTGCAAGCTCTTAAATCCCAGAATTTGGGTTCTTCAGTTTCTCCATCTGCAAAACAAGGATGATAGTCCTAATTCTTATCACATAAAGCTGTTGACAGGTTTGGATGAGAAAATCCTCTTAGACCATGTAGCATACACAGGGCCCGGAGTCTCATTAGTGCTCGATATATTACGTTATTATTCTGGAGCCATATAAAAACAAACCTATGTATTTAATTATAGGAACATTTTCCATTAAACTCTTGGAGTGGCTATAAGCTTTTAACCAAAATGAGATGACATCATTTATTGCATTTATTTTATGCAATAAATCTTGCATAGAAGTATTCAAGAGGTATATGTAAACTTACAAAAAGATTAGCTAGCAAACTTTCAATAAACCGACATTTCATCAGTTTTTCATCATTTTTGACATGTTCCATACCGATTTTCCCAAGTTTTATAAAATTACTATTTAAAGGTCCACCATTATCTAATATTTCAGAATCTTTCTCACCACTATATGTGGTGAAATTGTTGCTATAAATAGTGTTATAATTTACTAACAGTTAAAATAGGGTTTCCCTTACATGGATAAAGAAAAGTGGTCTATTTTTTTAATTTATCTAAGCAATATAGAAAAGCTCAATAAAATAAAGTATAAAATAACCTCAATTTCTCTACTCAGAAATAAAGGCTCTTCACACTTAAAAACTCAATTTTTTTTAGTGTTTTCTTTCACATAACCAAATATTGTAAATGAATTTTACTGCATTTATCAAGCCAAGAACCTTACCCAGTAGATTACCATACATTTACTCTAATTAAGTAGATATCTTTCTCTTTCAATTAGGGGCACTTCAATACGCTTCAGTGCAAAGCTCTTGAAATCAATATGGTTCCACTAAATTGAAAAGAAGGAAAAACAGGGCAAGCGTCAGCCGTATTCTAGCATCACTCTTGTCTCCTGAATGTTTCTTTTATTTAACATTCTGAAAAATGGAATTAGGCAATGGCATGTAAGTTTCACCTATCAATTAAGAATTAATTTCAATATAATTTCAGATGCAAATCTTAGCTTCTGGAATGACGCAAAAGATCATTTTAGAAAGTCAGAGAAGCTTTGAAAAACTGATGAAATGTACATACAAAAACAGCCTGGCAGCCTTTTTTTAGAGGGGTCTCCGGCACCTGCAGCCCAGCCAAGGCCTCCCCTTGGGCCCACGGACTCCAGTCAAGCTCCCTGCTCTGGTGAGCGAATTTTTTATTTTAGAATAAAGCACTGCTGTTCTGAGAGACCTTTGGTCCAATGCCGCTGTATGAGCCTGGGGACTTTGATATTCACCAGTTATATTTTCCCCTCTCTCTTAGGGAGAAAAAAAACCAGAATTAACAGGCCATGGCTACTATTAAGCAACTTACCCCAAGGCTCTGCAAGTCCTTTCCCAGAAGACGAATATTGCAACAAGGGAAAGATAGGTTTGCAAAATGCCTGTAAGAAATTTCTCTCAGTTCAAAATGTGTGCATCCTTGCCAGTTAGGGCAGTTATTAGAGAAAATCTGCCCAGTGAGCATGAGTCCAAAGGGAAGAGACTGATAGCTGAAGGTCTTCTCACAGATCTTTTCTTTTTTTTTTTAGGAAGTTTAGCCCTGAGCTAACATCTGCTGCCAATCCTCCTCTTTCTGCTGAGGAAGACTGGCCCTGAGCTAACACCCATGCTCATCTTCCTCTGCTTTATACGTGGGACACCTACCACAGCAAGGTGTGCCAAGTGGTACCATGTCCGTACCCGGGATCTGAACTAGCAAGCCCCAGGCCGCCAAAGCAGAACGTGTGCACTTAACCTCTGTGCCACTGGGCCGGCCCCCTTGCAGATATTTTCTATTCTAGAGGAGGTGGTAAGGGGCAGAACACTGCCACCCTTTGGAGGACAAATGCACTCAGGGTCACAGAGCCCAGCTGTGTGCTGCAGGGCTTCTTTGTACCCACTTTTGCCCAAGTAAATAAGAGTTCTGGATCATTCCAAGATTTTATGAAGAAATATCTCATTTGTACGTGCCAGAAAACTAACGAGAGTAATATCTAGATATTGCTTAACACGGTTTTGGGTAGAAGACAAAAGGGACAGTTGAAAAACCCTTTGACTCATTGTTGACTTCTGGTGCCCTGAAAGTTCCGTTCTTTGCCAACTCTAGAGAATCAAAAGTATGGTTTTTAAGAGAAGTCCTTTCATCCTTGATTTTGGCAAGGTCCTAAAGCAATTGCCTTTTAAGTTCAGATTATTTTGCAAAACAAGCACATAACCAACCCCCAACCCTGTTACATACATTATCTTAATCCTACATTCTGTGTTGCTTGAATTGTGTTAGTGCAAGTGAAATGAAAATAGAAGCCAAAATACTGTCACTTGCCAAATACTGTGGAGTTGCTTCATATACAAATTAATTTATGAGAATGTATCAAGGGAATTTAGTTATAAGCGTTGGTATGGAGTAAAAATGGGAAGAGGACACAAAGGCAGAGGAGGGGAGAAAAGAAGAAAGGAGAGAGGGGAAAAGGAGAGGAAGAGGAAATGATTTAAAAAATGTGGGTGATCTCTTCTAGTGGCTGCATGAGTGTGTGCCCAGGAGGTCAACTGGCACCTAAGGAGTGGGAGCCTGACGAATCTGAGACGAAACTCCTGGTCCCCAGACATCCGCGGATTCACAAATAGCTTGGCGACAAAATTACATTTCCAAACACAGCTTTCACTAGTGCTGCCATTAGAACATGCAAGACACTTTATCATTTAAATTAAACTTGGTGACAGCATCTTACACGACTTCCTAAGTTGCACCACTCAATGCCAAGAATATACGCTTATTTTAAAATTATTAAGAACATTTTTGACACAAGATAGTCACCAAATTTAAAATACCCCTCTGACATATTTAACCATATTCAAAATGCAACTTCTGCTGAATTTACCACTGTACAGACATACGCAAATTTTGAAATGCCAGTTAAGAGTTCCTCTGATCTGCAAAGCATACTTATAGGTCATAAGTCAAAGTATACTCAGAGGTCTTAATTGGTTCCTTGTTTTTTCTTGAATTATTACGGGAGGAGAGGGAGACAGAAGTTGGTTATAAGTCTATTTTCTCTCTATCCTGATTAACGTGTTCTATTTTAGTTGAAACTAACAGTGGCATTTTGAGGAATCAGTGGTGCATCTTCTATATCTAGCATATTGGACAATCAAAGAGAATCATTTGTGAACATCCCCTTCTATAGGCCAAAAATTAATAATCATGCAATAATCAGTAACAATTGTTATTTTCTTTATTTGTTCTTTAGCTTTAAAACAAATTGTTTATGATTAAAATAAAAAAGAACTTTCAATTGTAAAGATATTATTTAAATTTGATCAAATATTTCATGTATGAGCTAAAATTTGCGCTTACCAAACAAAAATATTACACCTTGCAATTTACGCTCTTAAATTTTTAACACAAATAGAAACCCCGAGTGGTCACAGAGAACGGCAAATCTGAAGTAACTCAAGTCATTTCTTGTCTTCACAATGCCTATGTTATAATTGTTCATTTCAAACCTATGGTTAAATGAAAAAATATGTAATACTACATATTTGGAAGGCTTGGAAAAGGCTTCCAAAACTAGCTTCAAAGATACCAAACCTCCACGAAATTATTCTGTGGACAAATAAGCATAGATGAGTCCACAGTATAACTACCAGTTCTTAAATTAACTTGCAGCACAATACAATGTTTATTAAAGTCATTAAAATGCACTCATTGGAAGCTTACTCCATAGCAAACTCAACAGTAACCACAGCAATTGTTCAGAATTGATTTTTCAGGGCAGGCATAATTTATCACTAAAGTTGTTTAAAATTGCCAGCACATGATGATTTTTCTAAAACCACATCGATTTTTGGTTGGTTTGGTTATTGTTTTTGAATTCTCTACATCAGTGCATCCCTTTCTTGCCTGCATCCAGGACGGACCACTCTCACCTCCAGACCCTTGGTAACATTGCTGTGAGGATTGCTCTATACCTAAAAACTTCTTTCACAACGTAATAGGTAAATTTTATGGTAGTTCATAAGCTGAATGCAAGGTACTAATGCTTGCTTGCTTTTTGAGCATAAATAAATAGTCCCTAAGAAATGTTTCAGGCCAGCCGCTCTTTACCCTGCTCTGTAGTTTTCAGTACTACTCATTCAGCCTGGTCTAATAATGACTCTGCGCCTGGCCATCTTTGTTCTCCCATTGGACATATTAGGGACACTGGATGTGCTCAGAAGCATGCAACATCATTCACTCCATCCAGGAATCAAGTGGCTCAGGAGGTAGATGTGTCATGAGGTGAACCCTGCAGTCTCCCAAGATACTCAGGAGCTGGGGTGGTAAGTAGGAGCAGGAGAAGGATGAATTTGTTTCCCACTATGGACTCATGACCTTGAAAAGTCTTTGAGGAGGACCACGAAGGACACTGCTCCCCTCATCCTGACTATGAGACATTCAGGCAAAGAGAGAATAAATAGTCTTTGAGAGGGCCTTGGATGAGCCAAGCAAGTGAAGGAAATGGGACAAGATCATTTGAGGCTAAAGGGGACACATTGATCACAGAACAGGGGCTCTAGAGGGCACAAGAAAGGCTGGAAGGCCCTAGGGAAGCCAGTTGGATCAGGGGATGTTGTCTGGGGCAATAACTTTGATATTTGGACCAAGAACTGAAGTTTGGGAATAGTTGACATGAAGTCAGTGAATGTCTTTAAGGAGATATTTATTTTAAGTGGGGTAAAGCCCCTTTGCATCACTACTACCATCAGAATCACTCTGAACTCTTGTAAATATGCAGATTCTTCACTCCACCCAGGACTCTCCCAGGTGACTCTAAGGTACCCAAACCTTGAGAACCATTGCTTTAAGGTGGTGTTTTCTAAACTCGCGAAGGCTGAAGAATTCTGGGACATTTATCACCAGGCAAAAGAAACATTGCTTAAAGTCAATAACAGCTCACATTTATTGAACACACCCTGTGTGCAGGGTACCATTCTAACT